AGGTGTTGGTGAGTTAGTGAAGGTGGGTTCGTTCGTTTTTTTTGAAGGCGGGAAGGAGGAGGAGAAGTGAGTTGATGGTGGTGAAGTGATGGGTTTTTATAGGTGGTGAAGTGCAGGCAAAGACAAACACAGGTGGTTCACGAGCTCACAGGGATGGTTTCACGAGAAATCTTCACGGGTTGCAGGGAGCTACACGACGACAAAAGACGAGTCACGTGGAAACAGGAAGATGTTGTGCATGTCATGCATGGCGTGCATGTCATGCATGGCATACGGTGTAATGTTGTGTAGCTGTATCGTGTACTGTCCGTGTACCGTCCGGACTCGGTAAAAACTCAAACCGACCCATAAAATCCGTAAGAAAATCCCGAGTGTGGAACAAAGCTCGGTTTCGGATTCCGACGTATAATTTACCTTAAAACAATTTCCAAGACTATTTTACATGATAAATTACTGTACAATGCGTTTTACAGTCCGGTAAAAATATAATTTTTACCCGGGCTGTTACAGAAGGCACTAGAAAAGACAATCTCCTAACTTGAAAAAGAAACTTGTTTTTTTTTGCAATGAAAAAAGGAAAAGTATTATCAAAAAAGAAAAGCAATGATGCTTAATAATGCTAGAGACAAAAAGAAGAAAAAGAATAAGAAAAAGAAGCCCGTTTAACAAAAAGCTGGTTTCAAATTTGAGTCACATTAAGATCCAAAACATATGTGGCCATAATCCTAACTATGCTTTATTTATCTATTCATTACCTTCCATATTTTTCAAATTTAGTAATTGCCAAATACATGATACCGTCTTCCAAGTGTGTTAACTTGTCATAATCCCTACCCTTTCTCAGAAAGAAAAAAGAGTCAAAAGCTACCCAAAATGGTGGCCGAAGGAAGAAATATTTTATTTCTTAACTTTAGCAACAGATACACCAAATCGTGAACCACTCTTAAACACACAGATGTTACATCATGGGACGGAATCGGATGAGGTTTTATTTTCCTTGTACACCCATGATATTCCTCTTTTTCTTATTTCTAAAACGGCTGAAAAATTTTACTATACAGCAAGATTATGGTACAAAAAAAAAAGAAAATACATATTGACAGGAAAAAAAACAACCCGACAAATAAAGAGGAGAAAATGACGTGATATAGATGGCTTTCCTGATTAAAAAAATGGTCCCATAAATTGATTATTAAGTGAAATATTGTCTTCTAAGGGGATTTTCCACTGCTGTTGATCAACCCATACTTCAGTATTTGCAACCAAATTCTATTCCAAAATTATAACATCCGATTGAAAGGATTATATTTGTTCAAACTTCAAAGGACGAACATTCATAAAAAGAAGTTTGTTTAAAGAGTATGTTAAAAATAAAGAAGCATTACCTTAATTTCCTTTTTCCTTTCTTTACTTTTTTTTTTTTCATCGTCCTTTGTCACAAACAAGACATGTTCATTTTAACTCGAGAGTCAAAGGAGTGAATGTCTGTCTTTAGTCTTCTCTACTTTTACTCGAGTTGCCTTTTGAGTCACTCCCTTCCTCCCTCTCTCTCTCTTCCCCTCTCCCTCTCCCTCTCCCTGCGCCAAAGTAACCAAGGGAAGGAAAGAAAAAACCTTTTTATCTTTTTTCTTTCTTTTATCATTGTTGTTTCTTATTCTGCTTCTGTTTGAACTCGCTGCGAGTACCAGACATTCCTTGTCTTCTTTATCTGTTCGTTCTGCTTCATTTTTGCTCTCCTTTTGTTTGCTTAACTGTCTTATTTTTGCGCTTGAATTAATTTCCTTTTCTTCAGTCACTTCCTCATAAGTTTTGGGTTTAGATTGTGTCGTTTTATACTAATAATGTTATTTTCATGCGTATCGGATGGAAATCAGATCCTGTCAGTCTCGAACTCAACTGGGTTAGCTGCTATTTTTTTGGGTTAGCAAAGACAACCAAGTAGCTCAGGTTCTGGTGTGTTTTGATTAGTCTTTGAAAGCTGGGTGCTTTTACTGTTTCAGTTTCTGCATCTGGGATTCTGAATTTGTAGTCAAAGGGACAAGCTTTCTGAGAGAAAAGCGCTGTCTTGAAATTTAATTCTTCCTATCATGATTTGTCAAGGAGGGATGCTGTCTTTTAATGCTTCTGAGATTTGTTTCATTTCTGCTAGGAAGGGGGTCACTCTTTCTGTGAGAGATAGTCATAGTATTGGGTTTGTTTTTACTGTGGTTTGACATGGGAATTTTGTGTCCGAGTCCTGTTCTGCAATTGTGAAGTCAGGCTTGTGTGCTTGATGGATTACTTTCTGCTTTGAAAGGGGTCTGTAAATACAGCTTGGGTGGAAACTGAGGTTTGATCCTGGTATAATTTTTTAAAGTTATGATCAAGCAAATCCTTGGGAGGCTTCCCAAGAAGCCATCCAAGTCATCTGATGGTCGGGAATTTGTTGGTCCATCTTCTGCTTCTTTAAGTGCTTCTACTAGTCCTAGAGGCAGTGATCTAGGGGGTATTAAGCATGCAACGTTGAACAGCACATCTCCTCCAGGACCGGATTCTGTTCCATCTATAGGTTATAATTACGCGGGTAAACCTACTCAGGCTGTAAATCCAAAAGCAAATGGGAATTCTGTAGCTGCTCCTTATGAAGCATTGCCAGGATTTAGGGATGTACCGAACTCTGAGAAGCAGAACTTGTTTATTAAAAAGCTGAATATGTGCTGTGTGGTATTTGACTTCACTGACCCAACTAAGAATTTGAAAGAAAAGGAAATCAAGCGGCAGACATTGCTCGAGCTTGTGGATTATGTTGCTTCTGCAAGTGGAAAGTTTACAGAAACCATCATGCAAGAAGTTGTAAAAATGGTATCTGCCAATCTGTTTAGGCCGCTTACCCCTCAACCTCGTGACAATAAGATATTAGAAGCCTTTGATTTGGAAGAGGAGGAACCCTTGATGGACCCTGCATGGCCTCACTTGCAAATTGTGTATGAGTTCCTTTTGAGATTTGTTGCATCTCCTGAAACAGATGCTAAGTTGGCAAAGAGATACTTTGATCACTCGTTTGTGCTCAAGCTGTTAGACCTCTTTGATTCCGAGGATCCAAGGGAGAGGGAGTGTCTGAAGACAATTTTGCATCGCGTCTATGGGAAGTTTATGGTGCATCGCCCATTCATCAGGAAGGCCATCAATAACATATTCTTTCGATTTATTTTTGAGACAGAGAAGCATAATGGAATTGCCGAGCTCTTGGAGGTTTTGGGTAGCATAATCAATGGTTTTGCCTTGCCACTAAAGGAAGAGCATAAACTGTTCCTTGTTCGGGCTCTAATTCCCCTTCACAAACCAAAGTGCTTACCTATGTATCATCAGCAGTTATCATACTGCATCACGCAGTTTGTGGAGAAAGATTGCAAACTTGCTGATACGGTAATAAGAGGTTTACTAAAGTACTGGCCAATCACTAATAGTTCTAAAGAGGTCATGTTTCTGAGTGAGCTGGAGGAAGTGTTAGAAGCAACTCAACCAGCAGAGTTTCAGAGATGTATGGTGCCCCTGTTCCGTCAAATAGCCCGTTGCTTGAGCAGTTTACACTTCCAGGTAATAATGCATGCTAATTGCTTTAGTCAAATAAACTGTATTTTCGTGAAGCGTGCTTCCCAGACATTTTAGCTTTATTTCCACTACCTTAGCACCTGAAATGTATGTTTTCCTCTCTTCCAAAGTGGGATTACTTTTCTGTATGGTCCCCTTTTGAATCAAAGCTGAAACTCTCTCATGGTTGTATTAGACTGTTAACACTCTTTGTTTTTTTCTTGACATGGTCTTTCTGATGTGTGATTATGTAAACAAACATTAGTGAGTCTCCTCTGTGTTCTATGAAGTTCTGTAGTTTATCTATTGCAGTCAAATATAGCACCCTCCAAAAGAGATAAAAACTTATATGTTTACGGTGCAGAACATGCATATCTATTTGTTGATGACAACATTCTTTTTTCCAATAATCCTCTGCTTTTTCCCCTTCGTGGCTAATTAGACTGCCTAAATGTAGAGTTCATGCTTTAAAACAAATTTATGAGGAACGTAGATTACTGCAGTTCCTCCTGATATGTGTATCCAGTAAGGGCATTGAGTCCCAAGAAACTTCATGGCATCTTAGATTTTTGCAAATTGTGGAAAATTACCGAGCTTCGATTTTAAGCAAAACTTAATGTAAACTTAATTGCTGGCCCTGACACTGTTAATATTAAGGAAAGAATTATTGACTATCATGATTGCCTTCCAACTGAGTCTTCGGAAATCTGATGAAATTCCATTAGTTGTTTCCCTTCAGTTACCTTTTTCTCTTTGTTGTTTGAGACACACAACAATTCTCATGTCATTAAATAAATCAAGTGCTAATTTATTTTTGGAAATAAGATCTCGAAACCTGAGGAAGCCATAATATAGAGGATCGTGGGTGGAAAATGCTAAATCATTATGCATTGTGGATTAATTTTGTTGACTGCATGTTTAGCTTCCAGAATCATGGAGAAATAATATTTTTGCAGTCTGTCTCCAGTCTGGTTGAGCAATCCTGTTTCAATTGACCTTTATGGATTTGCATTTCCAAGGATTGTTATTGACAATAGGGACAAACAGTACAGAAAGATGCGGGATTAGAAAATGGACAAAAAGCTCCATTGGAGAAAGTCAGGAGTCCTCTCAAGTTTGCACTGGTTTTTAAGAACCATAATGCGAAATTACCTTATTCATTTCATCCCATAGTTACATTTTGTTGGAGAACGTTTAGTGCACTCGGCGCCAGCATTCGGTGCTAATTGCATCCCATCACATCACATATCAGTGAAGCAACTAATGCAGTCAAAACCTGTTTTTTTTTTCTTTTTAAAATTTTCCAATTGACCAGCTAGTGTGGTTGTTTAGATAGACTGTCAATTGTGCTTAAACTTTGATCCCTTGATCACCTTTTGCTGCCCCTTTTAAGTGGAGTTCTTATGCTACAGTTTAGGGTTCAACTTACCAAATGTTGGTACTATATGGGAGTCAGAGTTGGTCTTAATTTAGTGTTTGGTGAGGCAGTATATAAGAGTGGATTTTGTACGTTTTTGCATTCTTAGTGCTGGTTGTGTTATTTCTGACATGCTTAATTTCATCCAACTTGGTGCCTTGTGTCTTCCCCATCTCATGGAGGTGATATTCCATCATGGTTGGCACAGGTTTAGCATGTTACCTATAATGATAAACCATGTTCATGCACGACGGTCAAGTTGGAGTTCGTCCAAATATTATCTTGATAATAAAAGTGGCTTATTGGGTTCACGTCTTTCCTGATTTCAAGATCAGCTGACCAACAATTATTCTTGCAGGTAGCAGAAAGAGCCCTGTACCTGTGGAACAATGATCACATTGAGAATTTAATCAGACAGAACCGCAAGGTTATACTGCCCATTATCTTCCCTGCACTGGAGAAAAATGGAAGGAACCACTGGAATCAGGTGGTCCAAAGTTTGACACTTAATGTCCGCAAGATCTTTGCTGATATTGATCCTGAGCTGTTTGAGGAGTGCTTACGTCGGTTTCAAGAAGATGAAGAGAAAGGAGAGGAGACTAAAACAAAACAAGAAGTCATATGGAAGCGCTTAGAAGAAATTGCTGCTAAAAATGCTGCAAATGGTGAGCCTGTCCCTGTTCCTCACACAATACCCACTCTAACATCTTGAAGCCAGAGATAGAAGATGTTCTTTTGTTGTATAAAGGAGTTCGGTTTGTTGATTGGTCTGGGAGGTAGAAGATGTTTATCACGCTTTAGAGCTCGAAGTTCTCGTGGATTGCGTCAAATTCTTTGTTTGCTGCCTCCGGAATTTGCTGGACTATTAAGGTCCTGAAATTCAGAAGAACACTTTGTGAAGTTGAGTGTTCTACCATTTCCATTTGGGGGCCTTCGACAGCGTTCACTTTGGAGTAATACTGGGGAGCGAGGCACCACGTATGTGATTGGAGGACAGACCTGGTAACTATAGCATTCTTGTAGTTGACATAGTAGAAGGTGACACGCTGCAGCTCCATAGGACAGGTGATTATGATTTTATTTGGTTGATATATACTTACTAAATTACATTCGTATACTCTTACGTGAATGTATGTTATACATATGTATTGGCCTTGTAAAAGTGACCTTTGTAAGTGTGAAATTTGTGCTTTTACAGTATGATAAAATTTGGATGGGTTAGTCAGAAGTCGCAATATATTCATGCAAATTCGATAGATTTGGAGGATAACAGGAAACGTTGTGTTGGATTGGTGGAGCAGGGGCTCCCCTTTCTTTTTCTTTCTTCCCTTTTTTTTTAGTGCGCGTGTGTGCAAACGGGAACTTTTCTTGCGCAGGAGGCTTTGTCCTTCACATTCCATTTTCTTTGCTTGTTTTACCTTCTCTGCTTTCATATTCTTCTGTGGATAGTGAAGCTATGTATTTATCAGAATCCAATACTTCCGTCCAGATTATAAACAGCTAAACTCCAACTTCTATTTTGCTGATTTTGAATCTAAAAATCTTGTCTGCATAACTGCTTTTCTTGTGCTAGCGATGGTTAGAAATTGGTCTTGTTGATTCCTTTCTCATCGTTTCACAGACTCCTGAATCTTATCCATCATAAAAGGAGATTCAAACCCTGAAATGGCCACAGTGACCTATCCTGCAGTCGAAGGGGAAGCGTCAATCTCCAATATCGACCGTTGAACTGCAAATTTGGTTAAATTTGCAAAAACTATGAACATATACCCTTACGATGTGGATAATCCACATGGGACCCTCCTTTTGTTTATTTGGTTGCTTAATGCATTTATTCCATCTGAAAATTGAAATGAGTCCTGCAGTTTTAGGAATGTAGATGTAGTGGTTCCTTTTGTCCTGGGCCGACGTGAAAATTACTATATAAACATAGACTTATTCTTCACTTTGGACAACACTTACCTCTTGGTTTGTTTGGTTGCTGAATGACTTGATACCATATGGAGATGTAAGATTCCCTCATTTGGAGGAAAGGGAAAACTATTAGTCAATTTTTGTCATCAGCGTAGTTGTTGCAACTTGAGAAATACTACATATAATAAAATGATCACATCCGCCCAAGTAGGATCTACTTATATTCTATTGGCCGGCTGGTTGTCTCTCTTGTATAATTAAGTTGGAGTTTAGTTTATAAGGTGGATTAGGAATATATAATGCTGCAAGTTGAAAGGTTATTTATGCAGAAAGTTTTGCTAAAAGCAGGCATCTTCAACTCCATTTGAAGCAGTAAAATGATGCCGCACATCCAACCTGAGATTCTATCCAGGGAGTTTGTCAAACCATTCTCTACCACACCAAAACACAAAGGAATTCATAAACTGTGTTTCTTTGATCAGCTATCTCCTCGCCTTTATGTGCCTCTTTTGCTTTTTTACACCAAAGAAGCCGGCCACAAATCAAGTGACTTTTACCATCGTTCACATTTGCTAAAACAATCTCTATCTCAAGCTCTATCCAGATACTACCCCTTAGCAGGACGGATCCAGGGAGATGCTACTATTGACTGTAACGACGAGGGGATTATGTTTCTGGAAGCTCGAATCCAGTGCGAGTTGCAGGAAATCCTGAAGCATCCAGCAGAGCAAACTATAAAATCCTTGTTTCCTGATGATCTGCAGTACAAAGATTCAATCTTGGGGAGCCGTTTGGTTCTTCAGGTCACTTCTTTCGACTGTGGAGGGATGGCTATAGCCATTTGCATATGCCATAAGACCCTGGATGCTGCAGGCCTCAGTTCTTTCGTCAACGACTGGGCTGCCATGAGCCGTGGCATTGTCAACTCTCCCGAGGAAGTCTCCCCTGTATTATTCAACTTAGCTTCTGTGTGTCCACCAATTGAGTTGCCTACAATCAACCACGGAGAGTTTGATCAAGTTAAAACTGGTTCAAGAAGGCTTGTCTTTGATGCCTTGAGCATAGCCAAGCTCAAGTCCCTGGTGGCAGACAAAGTCCAAAATCCTACAAGGGTGGAACTAGTGTCTGCGCTCATTTACATGGCTGCAATCTCCGCAGCCAGGAAAAGCTCAGGTTCTTCAAATCTAACTATTATGCATCACGCAGTCGATATGCGTAAAAGGGTTTCTTCAATATTGCCAAGAGGTTGCGAGGGAAATCTGACAGCAGTCTTCCCGGTATCAACCGCGGAGGATACCAAGATAGATTTGGTTTGGTTGGTGGAAGAGACAAGGCGAGTAAAAACTGAGTTCTTCAACAAATGTGCAAAGTTACAGAGCGGAGAAGAGCTACGTTCATTTGTTCTGGAGAACTTAAAAGGGTTACTAGAGTATACCCATGGCAAAAGGCTAGACGCGTACAACTGTACCAGTTGGTGCAGATTCCCATTTTATGATGCGGATTTTGGATGGGGAAAGCCTGTGTGGGTGACCAGTCCTTGTGCTGAGATTAGGAATGCCATTGTTCTTATGGATACCAGTGGAGGAGATGGGATTGAGGCATTAGTGTCTTTGGAAGAACAGGAAATGGCCCTGTTTGAGCATGACAAGAATTTACTAGCATTCGCTTGTATCAATCCCACTACTTGAAATGAGTACATTTTGCAGAGTTTTAATCCTTAGTGGGTCGACTCGGCTCTAATTAGTCTGAATTCTTATGATTTTGAGGTACAAATGGCTGGAAAAAAACCAAGGAGTAAACCCTGTAGATCGTGAATTTGTAATGGTTAATGTTTAGTAATCAAACAGCAGCTGGCGGGATGTGCTCTTTTAGGATTCTATTCTTAAACGTGCCTTCTTCGAGCTGCATTAGCTTTCCATATGTTCCCCATGAACATTTTCTACAAATAACTAGAAAACAATTGCGTTGTTTGGGCGTTTCGCCGTACGTATTCTTTTTTTTTTTTTAATTAAAAAAAAAGAATCTCCTTTGAATTAGATCAACTACACTCGAAATCGAAACTCTCCAAAGAGTGCAAGGAGTAAAGACTACAAATAAGAAATTGGAATAGTAGCAAACAAAAACAATTGAAACATAGAGCACCGAAAGATTAAAGGTAGGAAACAAAGATATGGAAATTAAACTCTTCAGGAAAGTACACACACGAAGCTTCAAGGTGCAGGGAACATAAAATAAATGCAAGGAAATAAATTGCAATTTAAGTGAGAAATAAACTGTAAAGGTAAAAGATAGACGAAGGATAAATTGATTAAATCATGTTATATTCATTGTTGAACGTCCTTGACAGCTTTGTGCCTTTGTCCTTGGCTCTTTCTTGCATTATTGGGACACCTCATTATAAGAACTTTTTTTTTTGTCAAAGCATAAAATTATAAGAACTTATAGTCATGAAATCACGTCTACACAATTATGAACCGAAGAATTTGGACCTCAAGGCCATGAGAGAAATAACATTAATGGTTAGCATGAAAAATAAATTAATGGCCATGGGTTAGATTCACTGGTTGGAGTTGTTCTAGCTTAACCAAGGGATCTCGAGTTCGAATCTTGGGAACGCAGTATTCTAGGGGCTAGTGGCGCCAACCTTTATGGTTCTAATCATGCCATGAGCTGGATTAGTCTCGGCCCGTTGTTATTCCTTAATAACTGAACTTTAACTCTAATTCATTAACTTAAAAATTTAGAGGAGGACTGCCATAATCAAACCTACAGAATATATGAATAGTATGTTCTCCAGCTGCCTTCGGTCCGCTTCACACTTTTTCTTTTTGATCAAAAAGAGTGCAGTCATATATCATTATTTATGATGAACAAGTCTGGGAGAACCAGTCCCCCTTACATCCTGAACAAGCAAATGGCGACAACCATCCGACAGATGGTCTAGATGGAAAACACCTAAAGGTAATAAAAAAGCATATCTGGCTAATCAATCTGCACTCTGATTCACCTCACGGTACACATGACGCAAATGCACTTGCCAAGCCCTGTTAAGAACCTGTTGTACAGCAAAACCATATTACGCCTAAGCCAACTCTCCTGTTGTATCCACCTCAACTTCCAAAGCCCGGATACCAAGATCCCAAGCTCGACTCAGCCCCACAAAGAGCCCCCAAAGTTCAGCATTCACCGGGAAGCAGGACCCGATATGAAAGCTAAAGCCCGTCACCCAATCACCATTAGAATTGCGTACCAAACCCCCGGCTGCAGCTTGTTGAGTGTGAGGAGACATCACCCTGTCAGAATTTAATTTAAACCAGCCCGTTGGGGGATGAGCCCATTTAACCAACATAAGCACAGGCGGTAGAGGTCCTCTGCCCACAACATCGGACTTTCGGGCAGCAAGAAATTCAGTTGCGAGAGCTCAAGTATGGTCGACGTTGGATTGAAGGGAGCATCCTCCTCAGGCTCAAAGACCCGAGCATTACGCCACATCCATATGCGCCAACAGGCAACACCAAAAAGAACTCTCCAAGTGATGTCACCATGCACAACAAAATCACATGATAAATTAGAGAAGAGCCACTCCTGTAGATTAGAAGAATGAAAAAGAACAGCAGGAGGGGGCGTTGGAAGAAAATGCCAAATATCCCGCGCCCACGCACACTCACAGAAAGTGTGTAGAGCGGATTCCACCTCCGAATGGCAAATCGGACAGAGAGGAGAAGCGCACATATGCCGACGGTGGCGGTTGGCATTAGTCAAAAGTGCCTCACGCGCCAGAAGCCAAAGAAAACTGTCGATACGGTAAGGCCCAGGCCATTTCCAAATCAGGGCCCAAGAGGATTTAGCATCAGGAGAAGGTAGAGGGCATTGCTGTGTATGAGCAGAATAGGCTGTGAACTCCCCAGAGGCTGAATGCCTCCAATAGACAGAGTCCCTTCTCGAACCTGGGAGAGGTACCGCAATAGCTGTAATTTTTAAACATATACTACTAAGAAGAAGATGTTGGAACTTTGACCAGTCCCAACCACCAAAGGAGGCCACGTAATCCCGTAACAAGTCTGAAAGAGAAGAAGTAGGAATAGGAACCAGGGCATGATCAGCAAGCCGGCCCACTCCCTCAACCCAGGGATCAGACCAGAAACGAATCCGACAGCCATCCCCTATAATCCACTCAATCCCTTCGAAAACCACCGGCCATGATTTAACGATACCCCTCCAAAGAGAAGAGCAAGTCCCCACAGGAAGAGTAGACGGTGCAAACTCCACATCCCTCAAATACTTTGCCCTCACAACCGAAACCCACAGGGCATCTTCCTTAGTCAGAAGACCCCAACCAAGTTTAGCCAGAAGGGCATTATTCTGCGTAGCAAGTGCCCTCAAACCCAGACCTCCATGGCTGCGAGGCAGGCAAAGATCAAACCAGTTAACCAAATGAGTCTTGTGGACCTCTGTGGTAGACCCCCAGATAAATGCTCTGCAATGTTTCTCAATCTCTAGAAGAATGCCAGCAGGGAGCTTAACAGTCTACATTGAATAATAGGGAGAGCAGCTAATACCGACTTAATCAAGGTTACCCGACCAACAAGAGAGAGGTGTCGCCCTTGCCACGCAGTTAACCGAGAACGGACTTTATCAAGTATATATTCATACGTCCCCCGAGTAATGCGACTGTGGACTAGTGGTACCCCAAGTTATTTACCCAAGTCCTTAGTCTTAGAGAAACCCAACTCACTAACAAACAAATCTGCAACATTGTGATGAACATTGGGGGAGAAAAAGATCCTTGTCTTACTCAAACTAACTTTTAGACCAGAAGCAGCACAAAACATATCAAGGATACTCTGAATAACTGGAATTTGGTCCAAGGATGCTTCAGCAAAGAGCATCATATCGTTGGCAAAAAAGATATGGGACAAGGAGGGCACTGATAGAACAGCTGGCTTCCATGCACCTATCTCCACAGCCTGACCAATCAGATGACTTAGCCGCTCAACACATAATACAAAAAGATACGGAGACAATGGGTCCCCTTTCCGGACTGCCTGGAAGCAGCAAAGGGATCCGAAAGACCACTGTTCCAAACCAACCGCATCTGAGACCCCCCACACAACGGATAATACATTCGACGAGGGTCCAGGGAGTCTAGCATCAATTAATGAGTCCCAAATGAATGCCCAACGAACTAAGGCGATCATATGCCTTTTCTAAGTCATTCTTGATAGCCACCAGCGCCCCCGCTTCACACTTTTTCTAGATGACTTAGCCCATTATATTCGACAAACCCAATAACCTAGTCCATACTCCAAACCGTCTTCACGGTATAAACAAAAGTAAATTGAAAATAACAACAATTTTTTTTTTTGTTCAACAAAAATAACAACAATTTGAACAACTCCATATATGCGAATAAGAAAAGATGGCCGATATCTACTCTAAATTGGTTTTCAATACTTGACTTAAACTAAAACTAAAACAAACAAATAACAGTAACTATTTGCTTTGTATACGAAAAGATGGATCCTCTGACACAATATATATCTTACCAACCGCACACTTAATGGAGCTAAGTCTTTTTCTGTTTGAACGTGTTGGTTTAGGGCCCCCTGTAGTAGTCGTCAACCGGATATGAAACTTTATTTTTACCAAACCGAAATAGATGTTATGAATTCTTAAAGTAATTAAGATTTTTGAAGTGGGAAATCTTCCCTCTTCAATCTAAATATCCACTACCAACATTAATTTTCTCCCCCGTGCTTCTTGATGGAGCCAGGAAAGTGAGATCCCAATTATCAAAACACATCAAAGTAAGAGCGGGTGACGTCGATGATATGATATCTATCTAGTATCTACTTTGTGACCATCACCAGAACTTTACAATAAGTAGTAGGTTAATTAGAAGATGACAAATTAAAAAAAAAATGTAAGAAACTCAGAAGGTTCATTAAATATAGCAAATGCCAAAACTGCTTTCTTTGTTTATGCTCCATATTTCCTCAAATCAATAATTCAATTAAAAATCACATGGCATAGTGTCATTTGGCATTTTGGGACTCATGAAAGTTGAAAGTTAATTATTAAAACCCCAATTAAGTAGTTTAATGAAACCTACAAAGTTCCTCTTACCCCGCCCAACCATAGCTACCGATTTGCCTGATAAGAAATTAGCAGCTAACCTACAAAAACTTGATTATATTGATATATATTCTTGCCAAGCAAGCACGATTTGTCGAGCTGACTAAAACCCTTCTAGTTGTGATCATCTTCGTGTCTATCATGTTATTTATCATTTTGTGTACTATTCACTCATGGCCAGCCCTGCAGGTTATATATAGTTGATGATGGGGGCTTTGTTACAACTGGCAAGTTGATGGGGATGCATTAGCTTGTGTTTCACGTCACCATGGACGTGGTCAACGAGGGTAATATTGGCAATAAAACGACATATATTGAAGAATAAGTTTGAATAAATAAAGTTTCGCCAAGTTTGCTTCTATTTTCAGGTGATCCATCTGTCGTCCATGGAAGCACACCTCAAATGTCAACGTTGTTGTGCTAGAAAGATAATGTGAAAAATGTCTCATGGAAAGAAAATGCGACACAAACAGCCAACCAGTTAATAAATTGTATAATACGAAACAATATTAATATATCCACATGCATGATTGTTAAAGGGAAAATGAAAAAAAAAAAGAAAGGAATACGTGCCCTTTCATGGTTGCGTACAACTGCTTCTGCCAATAAATTAAAATGGTGGAATTGGTATATTATTTGGTTGGAGTATTCCGTTTTTTATTGTGGGATTTATACATTCTAATGAATACACTCATAAAATAATATGGTTGACCTCCGTGGTATTGCGGTCGTGCAGGGTTTTTCTTTTAAAAAGGAAAGAGACATGAAAAGAAAAAGAAACAAAAATGAAACCATAGTCTGCAAGAAAAGAATTCAAAGTTAACAAGGAGGAGATCGTGCCCATATATCTTTGCGATATTAAATCTACTTTGGTTTTTACCGATCACACTTTGATTGTTCTGGTATATATCAATCTGGTGTGCATTATTGTTGGTTTCTACAAATTGAATTATTCTTTATATTTCGCTATTTGCACTTAATTATTTCCCAGCTCCACATGGGATACAAATCACAAATGGGATTATTTTCCGAGGGATATTAATTATTTTCCCAGCTCCACATGGGATACAAATCACAATGGGATTTCTTTGGGGATATGTATATCACAGTGAAATTTTATCTACACTACTTTTTTTTTTTTTTCTTGTAAGGGGTTCTTTTCACTGGAGTTTCATTTCTGATAATACTTTATAAATAACCTCCCATGTATATATAACTGAAACCTGGACACATGCTCCTGTCACATTTTTCTGTTTTGGTTATATTGGGGTAAACGAACAACTTACAGGAAATTGGATGGCACAGAAGGGGATATATATATATATATATATATATATATATATATATATATATATATATATATATATATATATATATATATATATATATAGCTTTGCCGTCCGGTCAGTAGTCACCTAATTCGATGTTTGCGTAGAAAATTTCAACTCAAAATCTACCAATTTTCTAGAGAAAGTATATTCCAAAATGGTTTAAGCAAAAGGGTTCAAACATCATCGTACTAGCTAGCTGGTTTATGTAGGGGCAAGGTACACCAAAATGTGTAGTAAAAATCAACCTAATAAAATTAGAATACCCAACAGAGTTCTTTGCCTAACCGAAACATAAAAAAAAAATAAATCTTTGACATTAAACTTGGAATTATTTATGAAAATGTGTTAGTGTTGAATTTTAGAATTTTTGGAGGAAATAATTAAGAGTTATGGAAATTTGATAGTTTGTAGTAACATTTTTTAAATTTTTTATTTTTATAATTAATATTTTTGACATTTGGGTACAAAAGAAAGGTAGTTGAGGCCCCATGATTGGTTTTGAGCTTACTACTCTAACAAGGAAAGGCTCCCCCAGTCTAGGGAAGGGTAGGGCAAACCATCGGGCTCAGCGAGCCCTCAGTGAGGTTCGAACTCTCAACCTAATGAGAGTGCTAACTCAGTCTCAACCAATTAAGCCAATCCTCGTTGGCTATGGAGAGCTAGCCTATACTTTAAACCAACAAGTAAAGGACATTTTGTGCAATCATGAACGAGAAAACCTAATCAAATCCCACTCTTAAACCAAGAAAAAGAAGAAGAAGGAGATTGATTGATTAGTCACTCATGCAAAATTCCGTAATGCTCCAATTTTAACAAGTACCCATGAACCTAAAATTAATCTTTGTTTAGTCCTTGATTAGGTGGAATGTAATTAACTTGAACACCATAGATTTTTCCATCACTAGTTAGATATATTCCAATTCAGTATATTATGCCTTAGCGGACCTTGTAATTAAATGGCAAGAATATGATAATCAAACCGATCGAAGAGAATCTTTAATTTTTCAAAAGCAAATGTCTTCTTCATTTATATTAATTGTCCCTACTCCTACGTCATCCTTACAGGGGCTGCGTTTTTTCTATCTCTTTATAAGCCTCCATTTACATGATCTGCTAGCACACAAGAAGGTTCCAGCTGAAACCAAAAAAAGGTATCTAGCAGCCCACAATAAAGATATGGAGATTGAGATCACGCTCAAAGAAACTATTAAGCCATCCTCTCCTACACCACCTGACAAAAGAATTCTCAAGCTTTCTCTTTCGGACCAGTTCACTCCTGTGACTTACACATCCCTTGTTTTTTTCTACCCCGCCGCAAGTGGAGACCAAGATGATCATCACTACGTAACGGTGGCAGAAAGAACCCAGCAGCTTAAGAAATCTTTATCAGAAGCCTTGACTCACTTCTACCCACTTGCAGGCAGGCTCAAAGATAATGTCTCCATAGAATGTGAGGACCAAGGAGCAGAATACATTGAAGCAAGGATCAAGTGTCTTCTCTCAGATTTTCTTGTGAAGCCCGACGCAGTGTTGCTGAAAAATCTCCTGCCTGCTGCTATAGAATCAACTGAAGCCGCCACTGGAAGCCAGTTGCTTGTCCAAGCCAATATCTTTGATTGTGGGGGCCTGGCAATTGGTGTTTGTGTTACGCATAAGATTGCTGATGCAGCCACGTTGTCTACGTTCATCAAGTGCTGGGGCGGGACGGCTCTTAAATCCAAAGATGTAGTGATTCCAGCATTCATGGGTGATTGTATTTTCCCGCAGATGGATTTGTCATTCTTGAAACCCACCTCCCTCGAGCTGATTCAGAGAGAGTGTGTTATGAAAAGGTTTGTGTTTGATGGTTCTAAGATTGGAATGCTCAAAGCAAAAGCTGCAAGTGAAAAGGTTCCTGAGCCAACCCGGGTGGAAGCTGTGTCTGCCCTGATTTGGAAATGTGCAATTTCAGCTTCAAGATCGAGCCTGGGATTGGAAAGAAAGTCTCTGTGGTCTCTCAGCGTCAATATGCGCAAAAGGCTTACCCCGCAATTGCCTGAGAATTCTGCAGGCAATTGCGTTGGCTCCATCTTATCGCGTGTGGAGGAGGATGCTGATGGGGTAGAATTGGGAGATTTGGTGGGTCTAATACGAAAAGGGAACCAAGAATTTGGTGAGAATTACGCGAAAAAGATTCAAGGGGAGGGGGCTCAGCTAGTAATGATTGGGTTTGCGAGAGAATTTGGAGAGATGGCCATGAGTAATGACATAGACTTTTACCTCTGCACCAGCTGGTGTAGATTTGAACTATACGAAGCTGCTGATTTTGGATGGGGGAAGCCAACCTGGTTGAGTTTTGCCAGTACAGCAATAAAGAATGCGGTGGTGTTGATTGATACCAAGGATGGTGCTGGAATAGAGGCATGGTTAACGTTGAGCAAAGAGGACATGGCCTTGTTTGAATCTAACCAAGAGCTCCTAGAATTTGCAGCAGTAAATCCTAGGGTATCCCTCAGCTAATAATCCTGACGTTAGGCTGGCTAGCTACGCTAGTGAGTCCCAAATCTCCATTTTTCTTTCTAAATCATCGTTGACTTAATTTGGTCATGTGAAAAGTATGTATATCTCAATTAGCTACTGTTGCTGTACTATACTCATATTTGAAAATTTGATAATAAATTCTATCTTTGTTCAAAGAAAAAAGAAAAGAGAAAGAAAAATATGTGCAATGCGGGATATCATGTGGCCAAGAGACATCAATTTGCTTGATGTTACGAAAGGCTTTACAGGAGGATTTTGGTAATAATAACAAATCTCAAAAACCCAAGGCGAACATTAGACTTTTTAATTAGTTGTAATGGTTCGGCTTGGGCGTTTTTTAATCTTTATAATATAGCAAGCCTCCATTAACATTCTGCTCTTAGCACGCAAGAAGGTTCCGGCATATTTAGCAACCCTTTAAAGATATGGAGATTGAGAGATCAGGCTGAAGCAATCTAGCTTATTTTCTTTGGTTTTTATTCGTTATCCGGAGATTTGCCCGACTAATTTGGATTCGACTCGAGACACATATCTGGTTAACGTGGGCGAGTCTCCCAATGAGGATTTTCAGCATACAGGAAGATTCGAACCCGACACCTCACTTAAGCAGAAACAAGTTGCTTACTATTTTGACCAACCCACAATTGAGAGCAATCTAACTTATTAAAAGATTATGAGAAGGTTAATAGTGTATTTCTCAGCCAATTAAATTTGACAAAGAGACAGACCTTAGGCTCATAAGTGATCAAAATATATGCCTATATTCGCGTTCCAATCTCCAGTTTTCTTTTTTTTTTTTTGGAATACAATGAAAGACATCTAGCCCACTAAGTGGGAGTAACATTGGGAATCACTAACGCATCCAAGTCTCGTAGTAGGAGACACAAACACCCCGCTGGGGCCTGTGAGTGATAACTAAAGCCATAAGGCAGAGAATAAGCAAGCTTTGTAAGCCAGTCAGTAGGGGCATTCGCTTCCCTAACAATATGCACAAAACGGACTTCCCACTACCGTTGACATAAACTACAGATAGACCGCACCAGAGGGGAACCCGAGCTAACATGGGTCGGTATTGTTGAAAACAAAGAAACAGCTTCCAGTGAATCACATTCAACAATTACCTTCCAGAAGCCTTTATCAAAGGCTAATGCCAAGCCCGTATAGATGCCCCACTGTTCTGCTTGGAGAACCGAACAAAGGCCAATATGAAAACTAAAACCAGCTAGCCATTCGCCATCCGTTCCACATATGAGCCCACTAGCTGCCGCTTGCCCGCCTTGCCCAGAAACTGCCCCGTCCGAGTTGACTTTCACCCATTTCGACAGAGGACGCTTCCAACACACTCCATTCCTATCTATCCTCGAACCAACCCCACAGGCGACCAGATCAGTCCTCTCCCAAGCACGGACTATATCATTACAGAAACGGTTAATGACTAGGCTTGGATCAAAGGGAGCTCGCTGTCCAGAAAATACGAGGCCATTACGCCACTTCCAAAAGAACCAACAAGCAACGCCGAACCACAATCTCCAAGAAATATGCTCCTTAACATCATGACAGGATTGCAGATTTAAATGCACCCATATCTTAGGACAGCTGACCTGAAAAAAACCACAAGGTAATCGGTGACGAAAAGATTGCCAAAACAAGGAGGCCGCCGAGCAATCTCTTAGAACGTGTAAGACAAATTCGGGATCCTGTCGACAGCTAGGACACAAAGAAGATGGACTCATATGTCGTCGGAACCCACGCAAATTGGTAAGCAGCACATCATGAGCAACAGACCAGAGAAACGTGCGGATACGTTGGGGACCTTGCCACTTCCAAAGAAGTTTCCAGAAAGGACCATCTAAAGAGGGAGGTTGTGACCACAAAGCCTCATATGCAGACTTAGTTGAGAAATGGCCAGAAGCGGATAACTTCCAATACACAAAATCCGGAGCGTTCGACGGGAGAGGTACACCAGCATTCATAATTTGTAGACAAATATGCATGGGCAGTAAATGTTGGAATAAATCCCATCGCCAGGTCCCAGAATCCGAAGTATAATCCTGCAGTCTTTTAGAGAGATAAAAAACCAGTACCGGCAGAGAGGCCAATGGAAGAAGGGGACCAGTATCAGCTAACCATGGGTCCTTCCAAAATAGAATCTTACGCCCATCCCCCACCAAGCATTCCGTTCCATCTCGCACAACGGGCCAAACTTTCGAGATACCCCGCCACAACGAAGAGCATGCTTGACGCGAGATATCAACTGGAACAAGAGCATCATCCTTAAGATATTTCCCACGAAGCACACGAACCCATAATGCATTAGGATTAGACAAAAATTGCCAACCCAATTTTGAGAGCAAAGCTGCATTTTGGATATGGATGCTTCGCAACCCCAAACCGCCTGCACATTTTGGAGCAGTAACAAGTGCCCAAGGCGCCAAATGGGGGCGCCATTTCGCCGGAGAGGAACCCCAAATGAAAGATCTACAGTGCTTCTCCAATTGGTCAAGGATAGAAACGGACAACATAACGGTTTGCATGGTGAACATAGGTAAAGCCGCCAGAACAGATTGTGTAAGAGTGACCCGCCCAGCCATGGACAAGCGAGCACCCTACCAAGCTGACAATCTAGTATTCATCTTTTCAACTAACTGGATATAGGTCTGCTGTGAAACTCTACCATGAATAAGAGGCACACCTAAGTACCGCCCCAAATCAGATGTAACAAAGAAACCCAACCTGTCCTTAAACAGAGAACGAGTGACCTGCGGGACATTACGCGAGAACAGCATCTGTGTCTTTTCTTGATTCACCTTTTGGCCTGACCAATGACAAAACATTGACAACACATCCTGAATAACTGAAATCTGATCCTCTTCAGCCTCCGCAAACAAGAGCATATCATCAGCAAAAAGAATATGAGAGAGAGTTGGCCCATCATTACTTAATTGTATTGGTTTCTAGCAATCAGTAGAGACAGAATGATTCACCAGTTGGCTGAACCGTTCAAGACAAAGAACAAACAGATAAGTAGAGATCGGGTCACCCTGACGTACACCTCTAGTAGGCGAAAAGCTGAAGATAAAGACCCATTCCACAAGACCCTCATCTCAGTATTTGAAATACAATTCATAACACAATTGATGAAAATCTCAGGAAAGCCAATATCAACCAAGGTCTGGTGAATAAAACTCCATCTTAATCGATCATAGGCCTTTTCTAGATCGATTTTAATGGCAACCAACTTTTCTCCCGAACTACACATCCGCATCGTATGCATTACCTCCTGAGCAATGACAATATTATCAGTAATGTGTCTACCCAGTATAAAGCTACACTGTGTGGGAGCAACAAGAGACGGCAGGAACGGCTTCAGCCGGTTAACCAAAACCTTAGTAAGGGCCTTATACACAACATTGCATAACCTAATCGGCCGAAACTGTGCCATGGTTTCAGGGTGGTCAACCTTCGGTAACAGAACCAAGGACGTCTCATTCAAGGATGAAGACCAAGTGTTACCCAAGAAAGCCTCTTTAATAAAATGACACATAGGCGGCCCAACAATCTCCCATTGAGACTGGAAGAAAAGAGAATTATAACCATCCGGCCTCGGCGCCTTAGTCGGCCCAATTTGGAAAACTGCAGATTTGATTTCATCATCAGTAAGTGGAGCCGCCAAAGAGGTAAAAGCCTCCCTTCCCAACTCCGGAAATTGCTTATTCAATGGGAAAACAAAAAAATCAGAATTTACATCTGTGAATAATAACTTATAAAACTCCACAGCCATGGCTTTCAGTTGGTCTTGGTCAGTACACCATTTTCCATCACCATTTTTGAGTGCCGCAACATAATTCTTCCATCGGCGAAGAATAGTACGGGCATGGTAATAAGAGGTATTTCGATCCCCATCCCTATTCCACTGACTACGGGACTTCTGGAACCAAAGTAATTCCTCCTGATTCAACAAATCATTGTAGTCCTGCAAGAGAGTATACTCAAGATTCTCTAGAAAATCTGAAGGATGTTCAGACAGAGCCCGTTGGATTCCTTGTAGTCTACGTGCCAATTTCTCCTTCTTTCTAATCACATTACCAAAAAAATTATAGTTCCAATCTTGTAAAGTTTGTTTCAGGTTGGCTAACGACACATCAAAACGGTCAGCCTGATCCCACTTATCTCGGACAACAACCTTGAACTGAGAGTGGGAAAGCCAAGCTGCCTAGAAACGAAACACACCCCCAGACTGGAAAGAAGAAACCTGCCGCATCCCCAAATCAATCAGTAATGGACAGTGATCGGATTGGACCATAGACAAGTGATATATATTAGTGTCCGGAAAGGATTGGAACAACAAGTCATTACCCAACACACGATCCAATCTCTCCCATACAAGACCCCTCCGCCAAGTAAAACCAGACCCATGATAACCTAAGTCCTCCAGAAAGCAATCATTCACGCACGCCTGAAAGCGCCTACAACCCCTTCGAGAAACCACTGTAGAACCCCGGATCTCCGAGGCCGCCAGAATGGTGTTGAAGTATCCGGCCAGCAACCAGGGAGAGGACATGTTTTCCGCCATATTAGTAATATTACTCCAAAGATATTGCCGAAGAGAAGCCTTCGGGCTGCCATAGACTGCAGAAAATTCAAAAGCACATCCACGAGCAGAGACCCGCAGATGTAAAAATTGAAAGTGCTCCAACAAAATAGTTACGTCCACTCCTTGCTTCCACAAAACCCAATCCCACCAGAATACCCATGTGCCTCCACATGGTGAGAGAACGGAAATCCCAAATTAGAAATCACTGCATCAGCCCCCGCTCCACTCACTCGAGTTTCAAGTAGAACTAACACCGAAATATGATTACGAAACACCATATCCTTAATAACAAGATGTTTATCGTGGCTTGCAGCTCCACGACAATTCCAACATAATAACCTAATCATTAAGATAAAGTGAAGGTCAGAAAGGAAAATATATCGGC